CTTGATGATTTTGTTCTACTTCATCGCGCTTTTTAAGTGACCATTTAACTAGTTTTGGGCCAATAAACCCCAACCTAGTTGGGCTAAGGTCATTAAGCATGAAAATACTCATTGGGCTTAATTATTCGGTCAACTTAGGCTTATGAGATAGAACCATCCTGAGTTTCAAGAAAGTTATTATTTGTGCCCATGTTTCACACTCTTCTTTTGTAAAGTTGTGTGTGTGTGTGTGTGTGTGTGTGTGTGTGTGTGTGTGTGTGTGTGTGTTATGAGATAGAACCATCCTGAGTTTCAAGAAAGTTATTATTTGTGCCCATGTTTCACACTCTTCTTTTGTAAAGTTGTGTGTGTGTGTGTGTGTGTGTGTGTGTGTGTGTGTGTGTGTGTATGTGTACATATATCTTGAAAAATATTTAGATCAAGACAAATTGAAATATTATTTTTAACTCTAAGCTAAGCATGAAAAAATTTCATTACTCTAATTAAAAGTTTGAGTTAAGACTTAAGCAAAGTATACTACTTTTAAAATTATTTCTTAAGAAATTTATTTAGAGTTATCATAAAAGGTGAAATTAAGTACAAAACTAACTATGGATTAGAAAATTTAAAATTTATCAAATAGATCAAATTTTAATCACATCTATTAAGTTGGCAAGTGACACTATTTTTATAAAATAGGAAAAAAATGATAATAAAAGAATTGTAAGATAAAGAGGAAAAATAACTAAGACAAAGATGAAAATTGACTAGTCCTTACCGCCATACCTAAATTTTTACATTGTCCTTGATGTAATTTCTATGATGCACAAAGTAAAGCAGATGAGAAATGAAGCACTTTCATTTGTTCGGTCGACCTAGAACAATGATGAAATGATAAAATCTGCAATTTTCTTTGGTATGAGGAGGATGAAGTCAAAAAAGTATTCTTTTCTTTTTTTCGTTTTTCAAAAAACAATTTATAGATTTTTTCATACCATTTTTCACATTTTTTTCATTTTTTCCTTTTTTTCCATTAAGTTTTTCCTTTTTTTCCAAAAGAACATGAAACTCGCAAATGAGAGAAAAATAAATTCTTTTTATTAAATGTTCTATTATGAGATAAACAGTGAAGATGTAGAATAACAGATTGAATATAAAAAGCTTGTACTCTACATCAAATGCTATCTTATTGCTAAAAATTCTACCTTGAATTTTAAAAAAGTCCAAGATAATGAACTCAAAAAAGTGCTTAAATTCAGTGTATTCTGAAGGTTTCAATAAATTCTGCAGCAATTGAAGGTAGGTATCAATAGTGTCATGCATTTTGAATTTCTGATTGAACTTAGATTCTTTATTTATGAAATTTTGTCTTGTCACAACCGTTTCTTCTTTAAAAATTTCCTCAACTCTAAGATTTATGGTTGAGGTATAAAAATTTAGTTGTTGTTTATTTTCTAGGATCCTAAGTTCATCCATAAATAGTTCTTCAAAATTAACATCAGATAAACCTGTATCGAACACAATTCCTTTGTTCTGGAAGACCAAATATGATCCTACTGCTTCTAACATCTTCAGTTCCATACCAAAAATTTCTTCAAAATTTAGATCTAACTCATCCTCTTCTTCTACCTCCTAAAGGTAATTTATTTCTTGAGGCTGATTACTTGGGTGGTTCGTTGTATTAAAAATATTGATACCAGCAGTCATATTTCCAAAGGATAGCTTCATTTGACTAGTTCTACAGTTAATTAGAGTATTAGAAATTGATATGAATAGTCTTCTTAGAATGACAGGTATTTGTCCTTTGAGATTAGAAATAGGCTGTGTTTCTAACACTATAAAATCCACTGGATAAATGAAATCCTTAACCCTGATCAAAACATCCTCTATCTCACCAGTAGGGACTTTGAGAGATCTATTAGCTAACTGTAAGGTGCATCTAGTTGGTTTGAGTTCTCTTACACCTAGTTGCTGGTAGACCGAATAGGAAAGCAAATAGACACATGCCCCTAAGTCTAAAAGTGTCTTATCAATGATGATATTTGCAATAAAACATGAGACGATAGGACAACCTAGATCCTTATGTTTCAAAGGTATGGGCTTTAAGAGTATTTCACTGATATTAGCAGCAAGAAAAACTTTCTTTGGAACATTTATTGTTCTTTTCTTAGTACATAAATCTTGCGAGAATTTTGTAGAAGAGAAATTTGTTCAATTACATCTAAGAGAGGAATGTTCACCTTAACTTGTTTAAAAGCTTCTAGGATCTTCTTCACCTGAGGTAAGTACTTCCTATGCCTGAGTCTATATGGGAAAGGAGTAACTATAGGCATCTAAAATTGCCTATGAGATCCCACACGCAGCTCGAAACGGAGAGTGGACGAGTTAAGAAGTGTTATCCAATCGGCCGCTATGCACGCTTGTCAGCTTGCAAATGTCTGTTAGCTTGCACGCGTCGGTCAGCTCGCGCGCGTCGGTCAGCACGCGCATGTCAATCAGCTCGCACGCGTCGGTCAACTAAAAGTGACCGAACATGCTCGTCAGTCAGCTTGCGCGTGTCGGTCAGCTCGTGCATGTCAATCAGCTCACGCGTGTCGGTCAGCACGTGCACGTCGATCAGCTCACGCATGTCGGTCAACTCAAAGTGATCGAACACGCTCGTCAATCAGCTCGCACGCGTCGGTCAAACGCGTGCATGTTAATCTTTTCGCGTGCGTAAATTAGCTCGTGCACATTGGTCAAACGCTCGCACGTTAATCAACTCACGCATGTTAGTCAACGCGCGCACGAGTGATCAAACACGCTTGTCAAGCAGCCCCAAGTGACCGACGCGTTCGTCGGTCAGAGGAGTACAAGCCAACGAGTCGAACAAAGATGCAAAACGAAAAAAAAGATAACAAAAGAATGCCCAAGTGCCAAACTGTCCCATGCGGCGGTAGGG